TACTAGTAGTGTCGCTGCTACTGCTACTACTACTGTTACCACTACTCCTGATACTGCTACTACTACGAATACTACCCATACTACTTCATCTGCCACGCGTACTTCTACTAGTATTACTCCCCCTACAACTATTATTACTACTAGTACTACTACTACACCTACTACTACTACTACTACTACTACTACTACTACTACTACTACTACTACTACTACTACTACTACTACTACTACTACTACTACTACTACTCTACTACTACTACTACTACTACTACTACTACTACTACTACTACTACTACTACTACTACTACTACTACTACTACTACTACTACTACTACTACTACTACTACTACTACTACTACTACTACTACTACTACTACTACTACTACTACTACTACTACTACTACTACTACGACTACTAATACGACTACTACAACTACTACTACGACTACTGCTACTACTACTACTACTACTACTACTACGACTACTACTACTACGACTACTACTACTACTACTACTACAACTACTACTACTACTACTACTACTACTACTACTACTACTACTACTACTACTACTACTACTACTACTACTACTACGACTCCACCTGCGCAAACCCCGATCGCCTCGCGCGCGAACGGCGCGCCCCAACGCCTCACCTCACGACAAGGATTAACAAGGAGGGGGGAGGAAGGAGGGACAAGGGAGATACACGGAGTTCAGCGGGCACACGCCTGAAAAACACAACTGTCAACATGCTTCGCGAGACCTGCTGCTGTGAGATGGGCTGGTGGGGATACGCGAAGCGTAAAGAATTCTGTATGTGGTAGAGCGCAAAAACAAGCGAACGTTTTGTTATTCTGCGTTTCGCCATTGGGCGGAAGGGGGGGGAGGAAGAGGCAGTGGGGGGAAAGTTCAACCAACAACACGGCATTCCAACCACTTCGGTGCTTATCCCAACCAGCCTGGGTGTAGTTCCAAACGACCGAGATATGACAAGATAATTTATTAAAAAATGTATGAGAAGCCCGCGAGAAGCTTATGGGAAGCCCTTGAAAGGTTATGGGAAGCCCTTGATGAGTTTATGCTAAGCCCTTGAAACAGCTTATGAGAAGCCCTTGAAAAGCTCATGAAGGCTCTTGGTGAGCGTATGAGAAACCCTTGAGAAACGTATGACGTGTGTGAGAACCTTGTGAAACAGATCTGATAAGCTTACGAAAAGCTCTTGGGAAACATTTGAGAAGCCCGTCAGAAGCTTATGAAAAGTGTAGGAGAGGTTTCTACGAGGTTTATGAGAGGCGTATGGGAGGCTTCTGCGAGGCTCTGATAAGCTTCTACGAATAGTATGAGAAGCTTCCACGAGGATTCGGAAAGGTTTCTACGAGGATGTTGAAAGGCTTCTACCAGGATTACGAAAGGCTCATGTGAGGCGTATGAGAAGCTGCTACGGGGATTGTAACGGGCTTATACGAGGATTCTGAAAGGCTTCTACGAGGATTACACGACGCGTCTACGACGCTTATACGACGCTTATACGACGCTTATACGACGTTTCTACGACGCTTATAGCTTCTACGACGCTTCTAGAATTATTGTCCCGCGAGAGAGCGCGAGTATGAGGAAGTCTCGAGCGAGAGCTATGAGGCTTCTACGAGGCTTATACGAAGCTTCTACGAGGCTTCTACGAGGCGTCTGATAGGCTGCTGAGACGTTTCTGAGAGGCTGCTGAGAGGCTTCCGAGAGGCTGCTGGAAGGCCTCTCGGAACCCCATGGAAGCCCTGAAGAATCCCAAGGGTTGCAGTCGGAGTGCTATGGAGCTCCTGAGAAGCTTTCGGGAAGCTATTCAGAGTCCTACATGGGGCTTCTGAGAGGCTTCTGCGAGGCTTCCGAAAGGCTCCCGGCAAGCGTTTGCGACGCTTCCGGAAAGGCTTCCAAGAGGCTTCTGCGAGGCTTCCGAGAGGCGTCCGAGGGCTTCTGCGAGGCTTCCGAGAGGCTTCCGAGAGCCTTCCGAGAGGCTCCTGAAAGGCTTCCGAAAGGCGTCCGAGAGGCTTACGCGAGGCTTCTGCGAGGCTTCCGAAGGGGCTTCCACGAGGCTGACGCGAGGCTTCTGCGAGGCTTCCGAAGGGGCTTCTGCGAGGCTTCCGAGAGACGTCCGAGAGGCTTCTGAAAGCCTTCCGAGAGGCTTATGCGAGGTGTACGCGGGGCTTCTGAGGGGCTTCAGAGAGGCTTCCGAGAGGCTTCTGAGAGGCTTCTGCGAGGCTTCTAGGAAGCTTCCACGAACTTTCTACGAGGCGTCCGATTTGGCTTCTGAGAGACTTCCGCGAGGCTTCTGAGAGGCGTCCACGAAGCTTCTTAAAAGATTATGAGAGGCTTCTACGAAGCTTATACGAAGCTTATACGAGGCTTCTGACAGGCTGATGAGACGTTTCTGAGAGGCTGCTGAGAGGCTTCCGAAAGGCTGCCGAGAGGCCTCTCAGAATCCCGTGGAAACCCTGAAGAATCCCAAGGGTTACAGTCGGAGTGCTATGGAGCTCCTGAGACGCTTTTGGGAAGCTGGTCAGAATCCTCCGAGGGGCTTCTGAAAGGCTTCTGCGAGGCTTCCGAAAGGCTCCCGGCAAGCGTTTGCGACGCTTCCGGAAAGGCTTCCAAAAGGCTTATGCGAGGCTTCCGAGAGGCGTCCGAGGGCTTCTGCGAGGCTTCCGAGAGGCTTCCGAGAGCCTTCCGAAAGGCTTCTGAAAGGCTTCCGAAAGGCGTCCGAGAGGCTTACGCGAGGCTTCTGCGAGGCTTCCGAAGGGGCTTCCACGAGGCTGACGCGAGGCTTCTGCGAGGCTTCCGAAGGGGCTTCTGCGAGGCTTCCGAGAGACGTCCGAGAGGCTTCTGAAAGCCTTCCGAGAGGCTTATGCGAGGTGTACGCGGGGCTTCTGAGGGGCTTCAGAGAAGCTTCCGAGAGGCTTCTGAGAGGCTTCTGCGAGGCTTCTAGGAAGCTTCCACGAAACTTCTACGAGGCTTCCGATTTGGCTTCTGAGAGACTTCCGCGAGGCTTCTGAGAGGCTTCCACGAAGCTTCTTAGAAGATTATGAGAGGCTTCTACGAAGCTTATACGAGGCTTCTACGAGGCTTCCGAAAGGCTGCTGAGACATGTCTGAGAGGCTGCTGAGAGGCTTCCGAGAGGCTGCTGCGAGGCCTCTCAGCTTTCTATGGAAGTCCTGAAGAATCCCAAGGGATGCCGTCGGAGTGGTATGGAGCTTCTTAGGGATCATGTGGAACCCCCTACGATTCCGACGAAATCCCCAGGAATCCGTAAGAATACCTACGATACAATACCATATGATACGTCACAGGTGTTACCATATGGGACGTCATGTGACGCGTGATGAGTAGTACCGCCGAGAGAGACATCATGTCCAGTATCATGTGGCACGTCGTGTCACACGGCACATCATGAGTAACATCAGATGAACATGTTTTGTGTGCCCATCTGCTACGTCATAAGTGGTATTTTACGATGAGTAACAAATCGTATCATCTGGTAAGTCAAAAATCACATATGATAGATCATACGGTGCACCATACATCAAGGCACCACCGCACACTGCGCAGACACCGCACACGCAGCACACACCGCACACACCCCACGCACCGCGCACGCAGCACACACAATGCACACACCGCACACACAGCGGACACGGCACACGTCGCACACACCGCACACACCACACAAGCCGCACACACCGCCATCCATATCCACGAGGTCCACATCACCACAAGGCGTCTCGGGTAAAACTCCAACTGGGGCAGACATGTTGCGTACTCGAACAAATGTTCGCCCATGAGCCGACCACTTGGTTTTGGTGAATATATGAACATTGCTTCACAATTCAAACCATATTGTGGAGTTATTCTGCAATACAAACAGATGGTTGGAATTACCTCCAATGTGTCGTTCTCGCTGGTTGGAATTACCCCAGTTGGTTGGGATTACACCCAACCGGTTCAGATTACCACCGCATGCGGGTGGAGGGGGGGGGTCTGGCTCGGGACCCCTGCTTGATGCGACTGTTTGCAACAGCGCGTCCCATGGGGGACTCCACCTGCTCGAAACAGGCGCCAACAACAGTGAAGATCTACTCCATGGGGGGGGGGACGGGGGCGTGCGAAGGCCCGCGCCGATCGGCAAAACAATGAATAAGAAAACAATCAAATATGGGCTACCAAAATACCAAAACAACATGTAGACATCGCTGTTGCTTCCGACAACTCGTCATCCTCCCGGTTGCCACTGCGCATCCTCGTGCTCCTCCTCCTCCTCTGCCTCTGCCTCTCCAGGCGACCCCAGTGACCTCGAGACATCCCCTCTGAACCGCAGCGCGCAGCGCTGGACCCAGACCAGCCCGTCACACCTATCCGCATCCGCGTCGACTACAGCCATCGTGCTACCAGTAGGTCGGGCATGTCCTCCTACAGGCGGATTTTAGAAGAAAACTCGAAAATAGCCAAAAAGTGCTTGAAAATTATCCAAAATAGTCGACAAATCGTCCCCCGGCGATTCTTTTACCATTCTCGCGCAGTGCCAGGCGTGAGACTACGGCCGTCGTGCTACCACGGAGAGCGCCGCACAGGGAACGAGTGGCCCTTTTATATGGCCACGGCGAGCCGCGGCGACGAAGAGGCTCCCCGACCTGGGGGGGGCCCATGGGGGGGGCGGCGCGAGGGGGCGGGCCTCCTCGGGAGGCCGGGAAGTCCCCGGGCCTCCCGAGAAGTCTTCTGGGCCTGCCCCAGAGGGCACAGGAAGGACCTCTCGGAGGGCGCGGGCCGGCCTCTGAGAAGACCCACCACCCCTCTGAGGGTGCCTCCTCCTCCTCGGGTACCCCCGCTCGCTCGCCGCCGATTGGCCGCGCGGGAAAACCCACGCGTCCGAGCAACGCCCAGAGACACGACCCTCGATCCTCCCGAAGGCTCTGCCGCCGAGCCGGGGACCCCCGCACGCGCGGGGGGATGGCGCGCGCCTGCGAGCCCGAGCGGCGCGCCAAGCGCGGCGGGCGGCAGGGGCGCGGGCGCCGTGAAGCCGCACAGGGGCTGGACGGGCTGGACGGCGCCGATTCCTTCCGGGGGAGCCCACGGCTTCTGCACCGGGGCTCTCCATCAGCGCGGGGGGGGGATCGCGTGGGGGGGGGCAGGAAACCGCTGTCCTTCGGGGGGCGCGGGGGGGTTGGGGAGCGAGAGGGAGGGCACGTCGGGGGGCGGGCACGTCGGGGGCACGTCGGGGGGCGGGCAAGGGGGCGTCGGACAGGTTGGCACGCGGGGGGTGCTTGCTGAAGGATCTGGAGTACACTTTTTGTGGATGGATCTCTCAAGCTCTCCGCCGCCTCTGGCGGTGTGCGCTGCGAGCATGAGCGCGGCAGAGCCCCAGGAAGGCGCGGCACTGAGAAAGTGTAGCTCCGCACACCTGACACACGTCTTAACGAGCAAGAGCACGGCAAAGCCCCTGGCACGGCAAAGCCCCTGGAGAGCGAGGCATTGACAGTGCAGCTCAACATTGATACGGTGGTGGCCGGGGAGCCCTCGCGACATGTCCACGAGCGTTAGTTCACCCCGGCGGGTGTGCACAGCGCAAATCGTACTAGCGAACGTTTTCTTATGCGGCGTTTCGACACTGGGCGGAAGTGGGGAGGGGGGAGGGGTCTGGCTCTGGACCTCTGCTCGATGCGACTGTTTGCAGCAGTGCGTCTTTATGGGGGAGCCTCCACCTGCTCGAAACAGGCGCCAACAACAGCCAAGATCTACTCCATGGGGGGGGGACAGGGGGGGTGCGAGGGCCTGCGCCGATCGGCAAAACAGTGAATAAGAAAACGACCACCTACTCTTCTTCCACCGCGGCCTTGTGTAGCAGTTTGATGGGGTCACTCTGTGCCCTGATCGTCGCACTTGTCCAGCATCGGCAGTGCTATCACAGGCACGCCTTACGGGGAGCTATGGCTCGGTGGTGTCCACAGCTTCTACACTTTTAGATTGTTGTCATCATCATAGCTTCTGTGTCGTCACCACTGGTCATCACCATCGCTCCAAAGCTGCACATCCACCGTGCTGGTCGAGGCCGATCCACCGGCGGAGCCAACCTATCTTCCTCTCGTCGTGTCCGTTGGCACCCAGCTCTTGCGTAGCAGCATGTTGTCTGTACCCCCGCATTGTGGAAAAAGCTCCCGCGCGCGCGAAGCGAGGGGGATGCGGGAGGAGGAAGCGAGGAGGAAGGAGGAGTGAGGAGGAGGACGAGAGATGGAGGACGGAGGAGCAAGGAGGGAGAAGGGGAGAGGAAGGAGGAGGGAGGAGGGAGGAGGGAGGAGGGAGGAGGAAGGGGAAAGGAGGAAGGAGGAAGGAGGGAGGAGGGGGGAGAAGGAACGAGGGGGAGGGAGGAGAAAGGAGGTAGCAGGTTCGGGGACTTCGACGACGACGACGCCGACGACGACAAAGAGAACGACGACGGAGACCACGACGACGACGACGACGACGACGACGACGACAACGACGACGACGACGAGTGCTCCGCGCGGCGGCGTCCTGGCAGATTGCCCACCAGGCCCGCGGGCAACAGCTCTGGGAAGGGCACCGGCCTGGCGAACACCTGGCCCCCGGTGGAGCCGGGGAGGGGCGAGGGAGCGGCGAGGCAGGAGAGGGCTAGGAGCGATCGAGGAGGAGCGACAATTAGAGGAGGGGAGGGGCGAGGGAGAGGCGAGGCAGGAGAGGGCTAGGAGCGATGGAGGAGGAGCGATAATTAGAGGAGGGGCGGCAGACGGATCGCAAAGTGACTCCGGCCCGCAGCCCCGAGGTCCCGAAGAAACGGAGCCCGGGACCCATGCTCCATTCTGGCCCAACCCGGAATCGAGAGCCCGAGCCCCGAACCCCCAAAGAGCCGAAGCCGGAATATCCGTTCTGGCCCAAGCCGGGAGTCCCCGGAGCCCAGGACCGGAATTCCAAGAGAGCCGCAAGGTCTCGACGAGGTTTGCGTGACACCCCACTCCGCTGGACCTCCCAGGAGCCCACGTGATCGCCGACAATTGCGCAGTTCGCAGCCGCCCCGGGAAGCCGCGAGATCTCTACGGGGTGTGCAGTTCACCCCAGCCCGCGAAAGTGGCGACCATTGCGCCTTTCGCAGCGCTCCAAGGAGCCGCGAGATCTCGACGGGTGGCGCGTGACAACCCACTCCGCTGGACCTCACCTCCCAGGAGCCCACGAAGGTGACGACGGTGGCGAAAAGATCCCCTGCGCCCGTTTTGCCAATCGTCATCCTCTGGACGCCCCGACTTTGCGAACTCCCGCGCGGATCGGCAGTCCTGACACACACACACACACACACACACACACACACACACACGCACACACACACACACACACACTCGGGGTTCTCAGCTCTGGGGCAGGCCTGCGCGGGCCCGTGGACGCGCGGCGCGGCAACGGCGCGGGGCGAAGAGGAACCGCTCCGCTCGACGCGCCGCGCGGCAACGCCCGGGAAGCGAAGCAGGACTGCTGCTGCTCCACTCGGCTCGTCACGCGGCGGCGCCACGGCACGGAGAGGAGACGACATCCCTCTCCGGCTCGCCGCGTGGCACCGCCTGGGGAGGCGAAGACAGAGCACTCCGCTCGTTTCGCCACATGGCAACGCCCTGGGGACGACCACAGAATCCACTCTACTCCGTGGCAACGCCGCGGGGAGGAAGGAAAGTGGCACTCCACTCCACTCGCCGCTCGGCAACGCCGCGGGGGCTGGGCGAAAAAAATGCTCCACTCGACGCCCTGACTTTGGAATCTTCGCGCGGATCGGCCGCACTGACACTCTCAGAGTTCTCAATTCTGGGGCAGGCATGCGCGGGCCGATGGGCACGCGGAGCGGCAACGCCACGGGGCGAAAAGAAACTGCTTCATTCGACACGTCGCTCAGCAACGCACGGAAGGCGAAACAGAACTACTACTCTACTCTACTCGTCACGTGGCAAATCTGAGGGCGGACGAGATACGAATCCTCTCCTACTCGCCACGTGGAATCACGTGGGAGCGAAACATAGCGCTCCACTCTACTCGCCACGTGGTAACGCCTTGAAGACGAAAACAAAATCCACTCTACTCTGGGCGTGGCAACGCCGCGGCTCCTCCTCCTCCTCCTCCTCCTCCTCCTCCTCCTCCTCCTCCTCCTCCTCCTCCTCCTCCTCCTTCTACGTTAGACTAGCCTTAGCGTGATGCTGTGGCGTTACTCCTCCTCCTCCCCCTCCTCCTCCTCTCTCCTCCTCCTCCTCTTTCTCCTCCTCCTTCTCCTCCTCCTCCTCCTCCCTCCTCCCTCCCTCCCTCCCTCCCTCCCTCCCTCCCCACCTCCCTCCCACCCTCCCTCCCTCCCTCGCTCTCTCCGTCCCTCCCTCCCTCCCTCCTCCATCCTCCCCCCTCCCCCTCCCTCCTCCTCCCTCCCTCCCTCCCTCCCCCTCTCCCTCATCCCTCCCTCCTCCCCTCCTCCCTCCTCCCTCCTCCCTCCTCCCTCCTCCCTCCCCTCCTGCCTCCTCCCCCTCCTCCTCCTCCTCCTCCCTCCGCCTCCTCCTCCTCCCTCCTCCTCCTCCTCCTCCTCCTCCTCCTCCTCCTCCTCCTCCTGCTCCTCCTCCTCCCCCCCCCCCCCTCCCTCCTCTCCTCCTCCTCCTCTCCTCCTCCTCCTCCTCCTCCTCCTCCTACTCTTCCTCCTCCTCCTCCTTCTCCTTTTCGTCCGCCTTTTCCTCCTCCTCCGCCTCCTCCTCCGCCTCCGCCTCCTCCTCCTCCGCCACGCCTCCGCCTCCTCCGCCTCCTCCGCTCCTCCGCTCCTCCGCCTCCTCCCCCCCCCCTCCTCCTCCTCCTCCTCCTCCTCCTCCTCCTCCTCCTCCTCCTCCTCCTCCTCCTCCTCCTCCTCCTCCTCCTCCTCCTCCTTCCTCCTCCGCCTCCTCCTCCTCCTCCTCCTCCTCCTCCTCCTCCTCCTCCTCCTCCTCCTCCTCCGCTTTCTCCTTTCCATTCCCTGATATATCAAAAAACATCTCCCTGTCGCATACTGAGGCTGGTCGAAAGGGCGGGCTGGGCGTTTCGCCTGAGACTTTCTCACCAAGTATGACCCTGAAGCTGCAAAATTGGCAACAGCTTCACAAACGGAGGGCGGGTCGTTTTTTTAAAGCGGCTCTCGCCTTAACACCGCGCAATTTCGTTTTAACAATTGCAGGAGCTTGACGGATGAAGGGTGGGTGGTTTTCAAAATGTTGCTCTCGCCTTAGCGCCGCGCGCATTCGGATCAAAAAAGCACAAGAGCTTCACGGATTGAGGGCGGCTTGTTTTCAAAATGTGGCTCTCGCCTGAGCGCCGCGCACATTCTTTTTTAACAAATTGCAAGAGTTTCACGGATTCCCATAGTCAACGTACCAGGAATGGGGTTTGGGGGAAGACTCGGGATTGTGAGGGTGCAACCGTTACGTTGATTCGCGGTGTTCACATCCCAAGATCGACGTTCTGGCACGATTCCGGATCGTCAAGACGCAACAATCAAGTTGATCCGTCGAGGTGGAGTCCCGAGAATAATGTTTTGGCAGTTTCAGGGTCTTCAAACGGTTGTCTTCCAACGAGGCAGTTCCCTTTGTATGGGGCCTGTGAAGAGGGAGCTTGGAGGGAGGGCTTATTCCAAAATCGTTGCTGGCTCTTGGGTTTACACTGGTCCTCATCCTCCTCCTCCTTCTCCTCCTCCTCCTCCTCCTCCTGCTCCTCCTCCGCCGCCAACTCCTCCTCGTCCCCCCTCCTCCTTCACCCGCAAGCGCTTCCGCGAGCAAATTTTCCTCTCCCGCCGAGCGACCAGGGAAGGAGGGCGGGAAGGAGGGAGGGGAAGGAGGGCGGGAGGGAGGGAGGGGGAGGAGCACGAAGAGAGAGCAAAAATCCTCACTTCTGGGGGCGCCTCGTCCTCCTGGGACTCCGGTGGACTCCGGGCACGCACCCCGGAGCGAAGGCACAGCTGAGACAACCGACGAAGCGAAACAGTCAGGAATCACACGAGCAGCACGCGTCTTACGCGCAGAGGGTCACAGGATTGCTTGCCACACCTCCCACGGCGAAGGCTCCGCCTTGTGCCACCGACCTCCACATGGCAGAAGCACGGCGTGTCGTCGTCGCCGTCTGCCATCGTGGTCGTCGTGATAGTCATGTCCTTCCTCCGGCGCCCTCCACGACGCCTCCTACGACGCCTCCTCTGCTTTTTCCCCCTGTCCCTGCTCCCCCCATCATCCTCGCCATCTGTCATTATCCCCCCTCCCTCCACCCTCCTCCCTCCTCCTCGTCGTACTTGCGCATGGGGGCGGGGATGAGGAAAAACAGGAGGCTGAAGAAGGTGATGAGGATAGCGCAAGATCAAGGAAAGGGAGAGGGAACCCGACGACGATTACGACGACGATGACGACGACGACGACCGCGGCGACCACCACCACCACCATCCCCTCCAGAATCGGCCCCCGATTGCGTCCTGGCCAGGCTGGCCGTGGCCAGTAGTCGGATCGGACGAACGTAAAGGGCAAGATTAAATGAAAAATGGTCGAAAAAATCGTCCCCCGACCATTTGTTGACTATTCTTAAATATTCCTCCTGTAGGGGGAACAAGCCTGACTTAAGGGTAAGAGTACAGGGCGGGCTCGCGAATCGGTTCGCGTCGCTGGCCTGCCTGGCGCTTTCCTGCGCCAGAGGCGCCCGCTGTGATCACCGAGGGGAGCACCCAGGCGGCGGAGCCGAAACCAGCTCCGCGCAGCAGATGTCGCACCCCTCCCACCTGCTCGCAGGTCGGGCACGCCCCCCTACAGGCGGATTTCGGATGAGAAATATTATAATACGACCAATAATAACATCAACAGACACAGCAGCAGCAGCAGCAGCAGCAACAGCAACAACAACAACAACAACAACAACAACAACAACAGCAGCAGCAGCAGCAGCAGCAGCAACAACAACAACAACAACAACAACAACAACAACAACAACAACAACAACAATCATTTAAGACTGGGGACACTCCGTTCTCACCAGTGCCAGGGTTTTCATAGGAGGCGGGCAATACCCCCACTTTGTGGGGGGGCCGGTTCAAGCTCTACCAAATTTCCAAACGACTCTTCGCCACCACCCACACCCAGCTTCCCGCCCTATGACGTTCGGACACTTCACTTCGTGGCCTGCGGACGACCTTGGCTACTACACTGACGCATGGGTACAATGACTTGTTGTGGTAACATTTTGTGGAAGCTAGCTTAGTATACGACTTATCCCCCTTTTCCAACACGGGACACCTGTACCGTTTTCCGACGTTTTTCAGTTGACCGCACAAGCAAAGATTATTTTGAGTGGTACCACGTGCGTGGATGTGACAGTGATCAGTGATTTTGTTCGATGACGTGGTGACACACTGACTTGTTGTGGTACCATGCCGACAACGACGACGCGACGACGCGCGCATGTGTCCCGCATGATATTTGTTGCAAGGGATTGTGGCCCCTGGCAGGCGCGCGAACGCCGTTGAAAGAGCTTGCAAAACAGCTCGCGCGAGCTCTATAACATAAATGTTGAAAAACCATTGGTTTTGAAGGATTCGGACAGCGC